GCATTGCTGCTGTCACAAAATAAGTAGCACATAGTTAGTTTTAATTAAGCACACATCTAAAATGCCACTGTATGATATGCAAACATTTAAACATTTCTTACATATGTCCATTGCAGGGTCACAAACATCCACACCAGCCACATCAGAGGGCAAGTCTATTTCCACACAAGACTTTATGTGGTCAGTCAAAAAATACAAGGGAACATCTTCTCTGCATTTCTGACATATGGCCTTTGGCATGTTTGCAAATGCCACATCATTCAGGTCAAGAGGATCCGTACAAAGTTGTTCCTGAATAGGGACTATGAACAGGGTTTTCCCACTGCGACCCGCAGTCTTCAACGTTGTTCCGGTATACCCATCATCTTCAGGAGCAATCAATGTTAAATTTCGTCTTCCCCAGCCACCTAAAAGAGATTGTGCCTTATGACTTTAGTTCAAATCAAAGCACACTATCAATTTGCTTGACAACCACATTCATAACATTTGCCGATGAAACTATAATTACAATCATTTAATTTGTCAATGTTCCATATTCTGTAAAGTAAATATATCATCTGCCCACTTGCTCTTGTATGGATGCCTTTGTTAACGAACTCTTCTACTGCAGTGGACTGGCTATAGATGGCAAAGAATCGCCTTTTAGCCCTCCAACGTTGTGCGAATATAAAAAATTTAAGGAAATATTCAATAACTTGCAGGTGATCCGTAGATATGAGTTCAATTGATATGGGACAAAATTTTGGAAGGAGTGAGGGGGCTCTGATTTCTGCTTTGAGACCAAAAGTGGTGTTCCTCTATTTTAGTGTTTCTCGGTGGTCAGAGGACAGCAGGGGTCGCTGGCGGAATTTTTTTTTACTAAAGGGGGTTGCTGGGATTCTTTTGTTTGGTCAAAGGTAAGCTTTACACTGCATAACAATATCAGTTTAGACTTTGAGCAACTTGCTGAAACTTTATTGTGTAACATTAAAACATACTTGGCTGCAATTGTTCTGATGGCAACTCTCCTTCTCTTCAGTGTTTGTTAGCTTCTCCTGCTAATGGTAGCTTCACCCAACATCAGTTCAGCGTTACACCGGCTAATGACATTTCTGTGATTCACTTATCTGGTGCCTGTTTTTTAAAATATTTTATGTTTTATTGAGGATGGTTGTACATATGTTTATACAGTGCTTCCATGGAAGGACAACATAATATCGTTCGGGAATACTTTAAAGTCTCGCAGTATCTACTGCCTAAATCAATAACGGCAAGAAAAATTATGAAAATAACACTTATAATAATATTGACATGATATCAGCCACTTCATTACCCACCTGCAGATTTGTAAAGCAGCCAACCCCCTGTAACAGTTCCCAACTTTGGAAAAAGGACTTTAAGCGTCTCACCCAGCTGTAAAAGAATTATGTCAAATTAAGACTCATCACAAATCCAAATATATAGTGATTGTTCCTAATACAATATTAATACATGCAATGACAGCCCACTTCATCAGATCAACTTGGGGTGAGTTCACACTGCAGCCTGAAGTGACCCAATTCCGATTTTTTTGCCGGGACCGTTCACACTGCCAGTAAATGCGACATGTATGCGTTCTGCAGTCTGAACGGGCAAACGACCTGAAAGTGTCCCGCATGCGCAGTAGAGGGCGCAATAGCGTCAGCGTTCTCAGTGTTCTGCCGACTGCCATAAAAAGAAGAAGTGCTCAGTGTTTAGTAAACATGGAGGCTAACGGTGGAGCTTAGCTTACATATTTGAAGTTGTTGTCCGGCCGGAGCAGCATATTAACAACTTCATCCTCATTATAGTCCGTCATGGTTGCTGTTTTTCTTCCCACTTGCGCGTATCAGGACACAGAATAGTGAGATTTGTTGAGAAACAGTGACGTTCAGTTCGGATGAAGGCGACCTGGACGTTAGGACGCATTTGAATCGGATACAAATCGGATATGGGTCACATTTGAAAAAGAATCCGACCTGTGCTGTTCACACTGCCATGAAAAGATCGGATACAGGTCGCATTACTTCAAAAAAATAGGAATTGGGTCACTTCAGGCTGCAGTGTGAACACACCCTTGAAATGTTCAAAAATGCAAAATGACAGTCAATTAGAGAGCAGCATTATTGTAATCAAGCTTCTAGATGAATGGCTTAGGTTCAAATAGAGAATCAGAATGGAGAATAAATGTTATTGAGGTAAATGTAATAGTTGCTGGATTCAAAACTTAAGCCTGAGTACTTTAGAAATTGCAGTTCTCCAGTAATTTTCACACACATACATTTCCAAGACTTCAGGCTGGTGGAAGAAAGACTTGATATTTAATGAGTGGAAATATCTTGTTGATACCAAAGCCCAGTGCAGAATTGATTGACAAGCATCACACCATAGAAAGGCAATATGAACTCAGACAAGCAGTGGTCTCAACCAATGTTCTGTTAAGACGGAGAGCAGAGCTACCTTTCGGGCCGACTAGTCCACTGTTTAAATAATTGTGGCATTACCTCATTGTGTGTTATGCTCTCATCAATGTGAGCCGTCTTCCGGCCCAATCCCGCTCTCATGTGTATCAGTTGGTCATCTTCTTTTGGCGTTTTTTCGTAATGTTTTGGCAGTAAATAAAAAACTACATCTAAAGGTTTCATCTTTTTTGCCGGGACCAGGCTTGTTGGAGGAAATCGTCGTTTTCCTCTTCCCCTGTTGAAAAGTCCGGGAAAAGATCTATTGTACAGAAATTTGAAGATAAATAAATTATACTATTTCATTTTCAACATCACTTTGAAGGCATAACCTATGACACATTAGGTAGTAGACTCAAAGAACCACTGAGTAATTTAGACATATGTATATTGCATAATACAAAATAATGAAATACAAGGATTATTCATATGACCCAGTTCAAGAATTGTTTTTCATGTTAATAGTAAGGCGATTGTGATAGGAAGACCAAAGTCCAAAAAAATGAATATCTTTCTGAGAGATTTTACATTGTTTTGATTAGTTGGAGCAACCAAAGATAATAAGTATTTGATGCAATATAAAGACATACAAGTGGAATATTGGAAAACAAATAAAGGTCTTTATAATAAATGCTTCAAAACTGAATTTACAATAAAGAAAGTTGTCATTTACCTGCTCATTTCCATTTGGACAGAGGAATTTTGATGTACCCTACAAAGGTTTCATAACAGAATTTATTAGAAGCCTGCTATGATCAACATATTTAATATATATATACAACCCCCCCCCCACACACACACACACATTAGGCATTAGGGCAACAGTTTATCATTAAACCTGGCATTCTGATTGTTGAGGTCTCCTCTCCCTCCACTTCGTGGTCTTTCAGTCAACAAATTTAGTAAATGCCTTGCCGATTGTACAATAGCATCCTGACTAGCCTGGAGTCACAAAATAAAAATGACAAATTAGCAGTTAAAAGAGGATCACTTAAAAAAATTTACACTGTATGAGAATGATCACGTTTACTCAGGAAAACTCTGTGCTGTAGGGTTCCCACCTTTCAGAAATTAAAATAAGGACACATGCTGTATCCTGTGTCACCATTCACTCATATGGTGGGATGGCCGGTGGAGTGATAGAAAGTATTTGGTAAAAAGGTCTACTCAAATACTGATTAACACAACACCTAATTTAATGTTCAAAGTTTGTCCTCAGGCAGCAAAAAATAAAGTACAAGTATGCATGAGAAGGCTTGTTCCTGATCAAATTTACCCCATGAGCCAGTAGTCAAAATATTCACTGTTATTTTATCAGTATGATTTGTTCTTTAAATGGCTTCTTATATTATCTCATACTATTATTCAATAAAGTTTTATCCAAAATTAACATCTCAAGCAAGTACTCAATCCATTAAAGTTTACTAAAAGCACAATAAGAAACTGAATCAATCATAGCATCTCCTGAGGCATTCTCAACTTCTGGAGATGATTGAGGGATGAACAGATGCCGATGTCTCGTTCTTTAGGACGATTTAAAAAGACGCAGTTAATAGCGATAGGTTACCTTACATGTCCTTTGGTTTACTTTCATACACTAAATGTTTATATGTGCGTGATAGGCGTTCCTATCGGACAGAAATACGGAACAAATCGCGTCCTAGTTTAAAACGGGACGCAATATTTAACTGTCAAATACGGGGCGATTCCGTGGTATTTTACCGAAAGAATGGCAATCCTACGTGCTTTTCTCCCATTACAATTGGGGAAACTATATCAAACATAAGTAAATCTACAGTTTGGTGGGTCACTTGTATTTTGGATGACCATAAATTTATTAATTTATTCATAAATAAAGTCACATGAACAATACAGTAGCTGAACAGAATGAGGTTGTGGTTATAATTAATGTCGGAAGAGTTCACAGCCCCCTCCTTGAAGCATACAAGGCAGCCATGTTAGCTTGCTACATTAGCGGTAGCATCTCCTGGAAAGTTACGACTTTACTAAGACTGCCTGTCTCAGTCTCACTTAAGACAACATACAAAGAAAACCCGGAAAGTCGCCACTAATCAGATCTCTTTAAAGATTCTAGACTTGGCGCAAGTGGTATTTCTTTTTGAAATAAAACACACTGGGTGTGGAACAGTTAAGAGAAGGGGGAGGGTGGGGGCTGGGGGCCTAGGAGGTAGCGAAAACTAATATGCCAGCATTACGTGGTGTAATATTAACAAAGGCCCAAACCCGTGTTTTAAATCAAGCTTTAAGATAATGTATCCAACCGCATGCGCAAAATAAAATATACTACAGAAATATGAAAGCATGGACTCACCGTTGGGGTTGGGTTTACGTTTGCCTCCATGGTCGCTGGCCTCGGCGATGCTGGTATTTCTTCAATATGACGCTTGGGTCATGTGATTGGCTGGGTGTTGAAATCTGACAACGATTGCTAATGTCTGTAACCTNCAAAATTTACTTGATGATTGCAGACTGCTATGTTACAAATTAAGTGAATGATAGTATACATGCTTCACATTAAATTATCCAATTAAAATGTACCTCTGTCAAGGTACTGGGGGGTTCAGGAATTGGATGGTGTGTTCGACCAAGAACCCAGAGCTGGTTAGGAGTCATGTTGCTTTCCGTTCGAAGTGGATGATTGTCCCAGCCACTGCGGAAAGTATCAAGATCTTCCTGCAGACGTGGCAGGAAGACATAATGGCAGCAGAAGAGGTGTGTTTCATTTGAAATGTGGAGGTATCCCTCTTCTTCAAGGTAGTGTAGCACATCGTAATAGATGGACGTTACAGCTGTCCACAGATCTCTCCAGAGTCTCTCAATCCTTCAATTATGGTGTAATAAATGGTTAAAAACTGCCCTTCAAATCTTGTCATATGATGAACAAACAAAGCTAATGTTACTATAGACATTGAAAAGTGATATATTGAAACTTGTCATTTGTACAAACCTTTGATTGTGCACACTCTTCCCAGATATGAAACTGCTTCTTCCTGTTCCACGAATCATAAACATAAGTCGTGCCACGTCCACATTTTCCACCCCTTGATCAGCACGTACCCTAAAATAAGTGTGTAACTTAATCAGAATTTGCTTATAATTACAACATTAATCACAAATTTTAGCATAGCTCAAACATTCTTTGTAACAAAAGATATATTTTGGAGATGCAAAGTAGTGGGGATTAGAAGGATTTTAATTGTATTGGAGTCTTCACCTCCTCAGTAAATTTTGAAAATATTTGTCCTTAGACAGGGAAAAAAAAATTTGTGTACCACATTTCATATTCAGAAAATTTAAAAGTGCTTTACATGACAAAACAGATGCTTAAAATATATGGAGCACTCCAGAGGACATGGGGAAAATTTGTTCTTTTGTGTTCCCTTGCGATAATATACTGATCAATTCATGCAGCATAATTGAATACTGTAAGTTTTCTTTCGGGCCGCTGTACGTTGTGCTTTAATAGAATGTTTTGTAAGGTTTTTTTCATGTATGTTAATATCACTTTGTGAAATATCTGATGTTTTATATCACAAACATAATGGATGCTGGTACAAATTCTTAATATTAATGAAAAAATAATACTCATAAGCTATATAATCTGACAGTGGAACTAGATATTATTCCAAAATGTTAAGTTATAATATTGGAAAATGTCTTATTCTATGGTAAGGTTTTACTTTTTCATCATTACTCAAAACCTATTGATATAAAACAAGCTCCTATGTTTTGGAGAAAAGTTAGTTGATGCCGACTTTTAATCTTTCTTCCTTGGCTCAAAAGGAGTAAGATGGACTGTACACCTTTACCTGAGTGGGAAACCAAACTTCTCCACTGAATCCTGAAAGAAAGCCAGTGTGGTAGATGCCAGGTTGTTGGGAGCTGTACAAAGATACATTATCTGCACAGGACAGCAAGAATGTAATAGTACATTTCAACGCTTATAAAATTATGCATTTATATGCATTTGTAGAAGATACTGCACCTTTCGAGAAAAACCATCAATGCCACCAAAGATAACAATGTTGTACCTAAAAAAAAACAGAAAATATCTCTATAATTAAATATTGTCACCAAAAAGGCTTGCTTCTTTTAGATCACGCATGTTTGTAAGAAGGGACAGAGCAAACTGGACTTCCTGAGGAAGCTAAGTTCCTTCAAGATCTGTTGTTGAGCACATAATCTCTTCTGCCAAAATCTTTTGGGCAGCAGCATCAGAACCAGAGACCTAAAAAGGCTCAGCAGTCTGACAAAGAAGACTGGTTCTGTTCTGGGGACGAATGTGGAACCTCTGAAGATGCTTATGCAAAGAAGAATTCTTCATAATAAAATACTGGACAACCCTGTCCCTGACAACAACTTCTTGAGACTGTCTTAAGAAAACGGAGTATTTTCAGTGAAAGGCTTCTTTATATTGACTGTTATACAGAACACTACAAGAGATCTTTCCTGCCGTCAGCCATCACCATCTGCAATAACTCTTTGAATAACCTAAATTAATGAGTTACGACATTTAATTTCCCTTTGGAATAAGGGATGTTTTTATTTTGATTTAATTTGAAGCGAGGTCAGGTACTGCTTATGTTTGGCTATGTTGAAGCAGAACATGCCAGACATTGGCCATTGTGGACATACTTTATACACCACTGTATATAATACTGAAAAGAGCTGCTTTTATTTCCAAAAGGGTATGTGACATGCTGTGAAATTAAAAAAAAATGCTACATGAGTCGAATATATTTAACAAGCATACTTCAAAGTTAGAAGATAAATGATTTACCGTATTAATTTGTGGTTGGTATCAATGTGCATCAAAGACTGAGGGCCAGGAACTGAGTATGTCCGTCGAGCTATGCATCCTAGCTGGACCATACGTGATGCCATTCCAATGGTGTCTACGCGATGCATGGATGCTCTGACTCTATCATACTGCACCCTCAGTCCCCTGGCTTGCAGAAGGGCCTTTACCATTCGGTACCCAGAGTGAGGCTGCCTGGATTTAATGTCTCTCACACATTGGTCTAAGTCATCATCTGACATGGTGGTGTATGATGCCCTCACTGAAAGACCAGACTCTGCCATCCGTCGATATACAGTCCGTCTGGATATACCCAAGAGTTTGGCGATGCATGGGACAGGGAGATGGAGTTCTAAAAGACTACAAAGGTAGTCTGAGGATATGACCATCCGTTGTCGCCCAGCTGGCCCTTGCTCAAAATGCACAACAGTTGTTTGTTGTTCTTCACTTTGTTTTTGTACATTAATTAGTCTGTGCAAATGAGCCATCGCATCCAAAATATTTGGGGGAACATCTACCTGACAAGATAAGGCATTTAAAAAAACAAGTTCTTGAGTGCAGATAAACTCTAGGAAATCCAGATCGAGGGGCATACGTTCAAGAACATGCTCCAAACGACCACGGAGTCTATCAAAAATATGATCCAGCAAAAGTTCCTTGAAAAGAGAAAAAAGAAAAAAAATGTCAAAAACATTGTCAGTAAAATAAAAAATAAAGTATTTTGAAATCAGTAGGTCAGTATTGAGAAATCACAATAATATAAATTAAATAATATTTAATCTAAAATAAGTTAACAGGTGTACTTATATTTTCTTCACAATGAGTTAAAATCAATTGAAAAAACAAAGGACCTTGTTTCTAGTGTTGCTAGGTAACAGAACGACGTTTTGTACCGCAAAGTAAAAAGCATGTAAATTAATATTATCCACACTTGTCAGATAAGAGAAGCAGTAGTTTGGAGGACGCTATAATCACCATAAATTTATTAATTTATTCATAAATAAAGTCACATGAACAATACAGTAGCTGAACAGAATGAGGTTGTGGTTATAATTAATGTCGGAAGAGTTCACAGCCCCCTCCTTGAAGCATACAAGGCAGCCATGTTAGCTTGCTACATTAGCGGTAGCATCTCCTGGAAAGTTACGACTTTACTAAGACTGCCTGTCTCAGTCTCACTTAAGACAACATACAAAGAAAACCCGGAAAGTCGCCACTAATCAGATCTCTTTAAAGATTCTAGACTTGGCGCAAGTGGTATTTCTTTTTGAAATAAAACACACTGGGTGTGGAACAGTTAAGAGAATCCTTCTTAGATAAACCCAACGCTCGCACATAAAAATGGCTGCAAACAGATGCAATTATACAACTCTACACCTTTGACAAGCAGAAGAAGAGGCTCCTGCACAACCAACTAGAAAGCAGCAAGTGGTTTATGGATGGTGAAGCCATATTTTTAGACGCTGAATTTGAGACGGCGAATTTGAGCAAGTTGAATTTTTAGGACACTGAAAATATTGCATTTGAATTTTTAAAAGTTGAATTTTTTTTATATGCTGAATTTTTTTAACACTGAAAAAATATATATTGAAATTTTTATCTTTGAAATAGGAATGTGAATTTTTTTAACAAATGAAAATTGAAAACATGTACAAAAAATGACACTGAATTTTTTTTTTTATTGAATTCGGATGCATTTTTTTTTCAAATTCTGATGGCCCATATTTACTTCCATATTAAGCTCTTGAAAATGATGTTTTATGTCATTAAAAAAACACATTGCTCTTTTTCGCATTCCCATCAGAAACAAATGTTTTGATTAACTTAAAGGAATTTAAAATCTGCATGAATAATTTTGGGATAAAATGTTTATTATGTTTAAAGATATATTTAAAGAGGGATGTCTACAAGTTACCAGCAGATATTTTTAAAAATACAGCTTTTAAAACCATAGCCAATGCTGTACTTGATTATATCTTGCTAACTTTAGGTTAACAAACAACTAGTAATTTTAAACCCTCTTGTCAATAAAAATTACTCATCTTGTTGGAAGGCATAACATTTGTCTTACTGGATCACAGTGCTGTATTTGACAAAGTTTTTCATTATGATTGAATTAGAAACTTGAGGTGGTTTCTCTGATACAGTTCTAAATTTATTTAAATCTTTCTTTCCAACTATGGCTGATTACAGATTGCATTGGTCATTTGGCTGTGACATTTCTGGGGAATTAAAGAACACATGCTAGGTTCCTCAAGGATATATTTATGAGTCACTTTTAATTTGGTTATTTGTGCATCGTCCTTGTTCAGAATATGGGGTAATTTACCACATATACAATACAAAGAATTTTGATCACACAACATGCTAAATTACAGAACATTAACGTGTTGCATTAAAGGGTAGTCATTCTTAAGTATTAATATTTTCCTTAAAATATTTTATTACAGCGTTCCAGTAAAAACCAAAGTTTTTCACCTCATCAATTCATTTGATCAGCTGTGCATTTGTTTAAAAACTACATTTTCTATTTTTATTTTACTGTGTTTATAGTTAAAATCTATTTATGTTCTCCAGTTAGCAATTTTTGAAAATTTCTTTGCCTCTTTACGGTGCTACACAAAAAAGTTTGCCTCATCTTTTGACAAGATGTGTTCAAGCTAATGTCCATCCAAAAATAATGCTCTAAAATAATCCCCAGGGTCTAAGAAGAATATATGACAGAGAGTACAAATCAATTTGGGAATGGGAATTAGTTGTTTTTGTAAGTATTAAACTATCCCTAATATCTGTTGCTATGACTCGTGTTTATAATAGAAAAAGCAACACGACTATATTTCAATGTTTTTGACAAAGTAAATCGTTACCAACAAAACAACTGTGTCCTGTTGCCGTCCGCGTATTATCGCGGGACTTTAGAGCCAGCTGAGAAGGTTTTTCTATCGTTCCTGGAATCTGCTGTTGTCAAATATCGCGGGAGCCGCCTCCCTAATCACTACGTAATGTGCCGTGCTGCTTCTAGCGGCGCTGGTGACAGTGCTGAAAGCTGTTGGGGTAAGTTTTTGTTAATAATTCAGTTTCGCTAAATTGTAAAATGTATTTTTGTAACGTAAAGTGGCGAATTTTCTTTTTATCATCCAACGAAGCTCTTGAAGTAAGCTTGGTGCCTGTCGTTTGATGTTAACGCAGGCGTCGGGCCTGGGTGGGGGCGCCTCGGCATAAATCACACACAACGGGCCGGGGAGTACGGCAGCATGATAGAGCTAACTGAGGCTAGCCACTTAGCTCCAAGAACGACTCAGCGACATTGACCAAAACTTGAATAAATAAGCTCGTAATGACTACAAAATGTCCCCATAATATGTAAGAGATGTTATTTTTGTCAAACCGAAGTCAAATCCAACAGAAATACTCAAAACTGTCATAAACGTGTGCTCGAGCCTCTTACGTGCTTTCTTTGTTTTCCAGTCCTCGTGCCGTTAGCCTAGAGACCGTTTTGTTCTCTGCTCTCTGCCTGACGAAAACAAATACTTTAAATTTAATGGGCCACTGCTCACATTACTCTGGAATGAAGTTTTATATAATCTCAGGCTGGTTTTGCTGTAGATTTTCCTTCTATTGAATGAATGTAGATATGGCAGGTTTAGTGTAATTGATTCTATTGAACGTCTTATTTGTAAACCAGCATAGTTGATTTAGAAATAATTCACCATTAAGTTCCGAGTTACATTTTATTGCTAACCTTGAAACCACAAAGAGTAGAAGATTATTTTTTAATATATTATGGTTTTTCTGGTGACTTGTAACTAAAGTAGGGTAACCTAATGCATATGCCTCACAATAACCAAGTACACACATACTATTCCTCGTTGATTAAATTTCTCTTGGTGGTAAAGGCCTGGGGCGTAATGGCTGTTTGTAAAGCGATATTCTAATCTTGTCATTAAGGCGACGAGAGTCATTAATGCTGTCTCTGTTGCTTTCTTATACAGTTATCCGATGGGGAGTTAATGTCCCCGTGTGTTATGACACAACCCAGTTTAGTGTGTTTTTCAGTGGAACCTGTTAGCTTCGGTTAGCCTGGATGTGACGTTTTCGATGGCGTTGCATACTGCAACGTGTTGGCTCAGGCCATGCCTTCTGTTACAGCTGAGGATAGCGGATTGTCAGGAAGTCACATGCCTGGCTCTGTCAGAGCGCTTGTCTTTCGTGCCTAGGAATAGTTTGAGGTCCTGGCCTTTCAATAACAGAGGGGTTGTATTGGTTTTCCTTCTACTTGTTTAATTGTTATCAGGCCAAACTGTACTAACGCCGATGATTAGCCTTTTTCAGCTTGTCTGCTCACATATTTCCCCCCTGTTTTTTGTACTTTTTCTCCAGGGCTGTTTTCACTCTGTTCTCCGACCTTTAACACACTAGCAATTCATGACCAGATGGCTGATAAGTTATTTACTACTCTTTATTCTTTAGTGTGTCTCACAGTGTAAGGTTAATGCAAATTGATTTTTTTTTTTTTTTAAATCAAACAGCCTGTGAGCTTCACATTAACCAGGTTGAAGCTTGTTATGAAGTGTTGTAGGCTTTGGGATGTGGATCGGACCCATTGCGACACAGGACACCATATCAAGTATCACTGGGGGGCCTGGGTGTTTACAAAGCAGTGTATTTAGGTCAACAACATTCTCCATTCTCCCCAACCCCACTAGTTGGGTTTGAGTTACAAAATAAACCAGTCTTCACACATGTGTTCCCAGGATTTATTCTATTAGTTTCAAAAACCAATGGTTTTAATGGTAGATTGTATCCGTAGTAGAAAAAGAAATTTGGTCTAAAATGGAGCCATGAATGTCACCGCCCACAGCAAGTGGATCTTTTTATCTTTGGTTCTTCTCAACATGTTTACTTCATGATATTGTGCACCTGTTAGATATCTGAGAATATTTTTCTTTTTACTGCAGCAGTTAATAATTGTGTATTCTCTAAAAGCCTTAGAAGACATGTGCTCACGGTTGTCGTGTTTTTGTTCAGGAAAAATGTGAAACTGCTGTTATCCAACATCAGAACAACATGAAACAATTTCAGTATAAGTGAATAAAATTCACCATACTTGCATAAAGTCTGAAAAGAACATATGACATGATCTAATCACTTTAAAAAAGGTAACTATTGTTCCTACTGTTTTTCTTGCCTGAAAATGTTACGACACAGCCCAGTTTTCTTACTTGTAAGCAAGGAAAAGCGGCTTGCTTTTAGCTAACTGGCCAGCAGAGTTCAGGGGTATTTGAGATGATGGTTGTACAGAGAAGACTGCAGTCAGCACTTTTTCTTGCATCTCATTAAAAAGATTGTAAAACATAGCAGCGGTATGGATGAAAATTTAAGTAGTTTTCAAACCGTTCTCGTAACTCAAAAAAGTAATTTGTTGTCTTTTTGAGGTTCACGTCAGGTGTCTTGGAGTCTTCTTTTCGCCTCTTTACATTAACCCTAGATGTTTACCTGGATGCATTGCATTTGGTTGCATCTCTAACCCAATCTTTTCTTTCCCCCCCCCAACAGTATGAAGTGAAACCGAACTGAATTTTTGTACCATCCGCAACTGCTTCAAGTTCAGATCACAACTAAAGGAACTGAAGACAAACCTCCCAGATTAAAAAAAAAAGTTGCAACACTGAAGCCAAGTGGGGGGAGAAAAGGATCACTTCAAGGATTTAAAAACACAAGAGAAACAAAAATCCTGAAACGACCAAAGAACACGCACATCAGCCCAACTGAAACGTGAAAGAGAAGCAATCCTGTGCCCAAGCATATTCTAAGAAGAAAACTGATCTGAAACAAGAAGTTTGTGCCTACTCAACAGCTTTGACAAAGCACACGTCCCAACGCTGCTCCTAGCCCTCCTCATCCTAACTACGCTGCCGACTCGCCACTAAAGTGTAGAGTAGGCTGCTCTCTGCTAGTAACCTCCCATAGTCTCCCCCGTCTCTCTACTCCACCTTTTTGTTCTCCGTAACTTTTCTAAGCAGTGTTATTGCACCTGCAACTGCCTTTTGTGTGCTAGGTTTCCTTTTTCTTTTTTTTCTTTTTTTTTTTTTTTTACTTTATGCAACCACCTTGGTCTTGTGCCAGAAATCTGTTAGGAGCGTGCATGTGTTAAAGTGTGTGTATGTGTTTGTGTGTGTGAAGCTCTGCGAAGTCATCAAGATCCAGAGAAAAAAGATAAAAGAAACGGTAAAGGTGAGTCACAGTTACTGCCACCACTGTTTAAAATTGTATGCTTTTATTTGTTATGCTAAGTGGGGGCAACTCCAGGCCTGGAGGGCCGGTCTCCTACAACTTTTAGATGTGTCTCTACTTCAACACACCTGAGTCAAATAATGAGGTCATTAGCAGGACTCTGGAGAACTTGACTGCACTTAGGAGGTGATTCAGCTGTTGGATTCAAGTGTGTTGGACCTGGGAGACGTCTAAGAGTTGCAGGACACCGACCCTCGAGGACCAGGATTTCCCACCCCTGGGATAGACTATCCACTACACACTGATAAAACACATGGCTCCTTTTTTGTTCCTCAAAAACTGTGAAATGGGTTTTTTCCCCAACTTTTATGTCTTTCTTTTTTGTTTTGCTTCTTCTGATTTAATTTCTGAGAACTTCACTGATGCATAATAAAGCTAATATTAGTCCTTTCAGGATGTTGTAATGTTTAAATTTTTTGATTGTTGCAGTTTAAAATTAATTGATTTTTGCGGCACCTTTTTCAAAAAGTTCTAGGTTTGATTTTCAGCATATGATCTTGGATAAAAGTTTAAACTGCTGCACATAGCCTTTCCCCTCAAAAAAAGACATAATTTTAACATGGTTAATATTTGAACTGCAAATAACATTTTTAAGTACCTTCTTGAAATGTCACCCTTAATACAAATACAACCACGTCCTGAGGAGTTGTTAAAGTCTAAAAGAACTCCATTTTGGTCATTCAAGTTAACATGATCTGTATGCAAATCATACAGGACATCTCAAAATGATTTTTGGAGGGAATGGTTCCAGGTTTGTCTTTCAAGCGATGTTGTCATGAAGCAGAAAGTTAAGTTAGAAGGGGCTAAGATGATTGGTCAAAATTCAGTCAAGTTGAGGTGATGGGTCAGATTTGCAGAATGCAATGCAAAATTTGTGAAAGATGAGTGAATTGGCATTAATATTTATGGTTGTAGCTTCCTAGAGGGCCTATTTTGTGGGGTTTTCTACAAACGGTAACGTCAGTAAGTGTGGTGTTGGTGTCCTGGTAGCAGAAAGGTGTGACTGGTTCACTGAACTGTAAATGATTTTGACCTGGTCACCAGGCTGTTTCTTGGCATCTCTACATGAAACATTTTTCTGTGCTGTTTTTTCCCTGCCTCTAAATCATTTAGGATTTACTATTGAATCAGAAAATAAGTGAATCCTTATGTAGATTTTTAGACTTTTATGCTTTCCAAGTTGAAAGAACACCAGGTTTTAGTTAGAAATGACCAGCTCCTCACTGCGTTTTCTCGTCTGTGACTTGTAGCCTGTTTTTAAACTCTGGATAAATAAGACGAACTGGCCCGTCCAACCAGTTGCCCCCACCTCTGTTTGGAGGGGGTTGAATTTTTAAATTTTTCCTCACAATTCCCGGAGAGTCCACATCATTGTTTTCCTTTCTGAGTGACACTTGGCACACTGGCTGACCTTCCTCACCCATCATGTTTGTTCCTCTCTTCACCCTTGCAGACATCCAGCCGTGTATCACTGGGTGGTTACTTAACTGTTGTCCATTTAAAACAAAAAAAAAAAAAAAAAAAAAAAAAAATAAACGAGAAATTAAAACATTTTGGGCAGGGGCTCAACAAATTTGGNGGACCACAACCGCTCATGAATGGCAATATGCAATATTTACAGCCCCTTCTAAAAATGTTTATAACAACCTATTTTAATACTTCAAACACTAAATTAACTTTAACAAGCATTAATTCACACAGAGGAACATCTATCATCTGCTCTTGGATTAACTGCTTCGTGAACGTCTACGCTTTGCTTCGTTCAGAGCTTTGGGACCCTCTGTTGTTGAAAAGACAACAACAGAGGGCCTTTGTTGAAGTTTTAAAGTATTTGATCTGATTTTAATTACCCAATCACTAACATTTGGCCATAACGTATGTGGGCTAGTTTGATGAGACTTACTGAAAATCTAATGCGCTGTGTAAATGTCCATGGGGAGTAGGACCACCACATCTTTACCAGCAATAAATTGTCTTAAGCATTCCTCTTCATCCGACTTTCATTGCTTAATACTTGGAAGCGTGGCCAACACAGACTGAACAGCTTCATTCACTTCCTCGGCTGTCATCACCAAGCTTCAGTTGTAGGCAAGCGGACTACAATTCTGAAACAAGTCAGCACATGAATTTGTTACATGCAGAATCTGTATAATGTACCTAATGGTTGGAAATAGATTTAGTGAGGCACTGAATGCTAAAAGTCAGCAGAGGAAGAAAACTTTAATGACTCAATCACACGTGAAAGGTACTGAGGCATTTTTAAAGCTCATGATCACGGAAATCTGAATTTAGCAGATGGCATCCTTGCCACACATTCTATCTCATCTCGCTGAGATTCTTTTATAACTCAAACATGGTAAAAAAAAATAAAAATAAAAAATTAAACGATGTAAGAAGGAGGGAAAGAGTGCTGTAAGCTTCATATATTAGCTCCAGCAGGGATGAATTACAGCTCCAGGGCAGCTGGGATGTAGTAAAATGTAGCATGTGTCTGTGGAAACTGCCTCTCCACAGTTTAACTGATGCCACTGAGAAATGTATCTAAGGCTGTTTTTAAAACCAAAATAAGCTTCAGGGAGAAAGGAGTGGAGGAAGAGAGTCCATCATTCTTCAGTGTCTTTGAATATATTTAATAATTCTGTTTTAATTTAATTCAGGACATGGATCAACCAGGAGATTCTGGGCTTGTTATCGGAGGAAAAACCGTCGGGGTCTGGCCATTCAGAGCCCTGTAGGTGAGAACAAGAACTCTGAACCGAATTCTAAAATCCACTGGGAGCCAGAATGGTGAGTATAAAGGTTGATGTGAGCATATTTACTGAATTTAGTAAGAAGTCTGGCTGCTGCGTATTGAATGGCTTGCAGATGGGAAACCGATGAGCTGTCCAGGCCTGTAAAAGAAGATTTAAGATAGTCCAGACTGAATGACAACCACATGAATGATCTTTTCGAGGTCCAGTCGGGAGACCTTGTCTCATATTTTATAACTGTTTCTTAAATGAAAGGAACATGAAGGAGAAATTGATATGGTGTATGAGTCAAACCTTCATTAACAGTTAAATGTGTGGACAAAAAGAAGCGAATAGCTGCGTTTCCATTACAAATGTACGCAAAACTTAATATTGAAAAAACACAATTTCAATGTTTCCATTAAATAATAAATGCTATTAAATCACGTGAATGAGATGTTACAAAAAAACACGCGGCAATGTGATCCTCCAACTACTTTTTTGTGGTTTGCATTAATGATATCACATGATCACGTAACTCGTGATCTGAAAAACATGTTTCCTTTACAGTTTTGGTTTTGCGAAATAACCCAATTTCGATGCGTCCAAAAACCAACCCAAAGCCACACACCTTTCTGTCTTCCCTTGGCAGGTGCTTCCTGGGTCCAATTTTAGTGTTTTCCTTCTGCTACACACCTGGATTGAATCTATGGGTGATTAACAGGCTTCTGCAGTACTTGGTGGCTGCAGAAGAGGTCATGCAATCATGTGGATCAGCTGTTCTGGAATAGAGGCACATCTAAGACATGCAGAGCAGGGAGGCCTGAGGACTTGAATTGAGAAACAATTTTATATACAAATTATACCACAGCATGCCCAGGTGGGCCCCATATTGGGAAAAGGAGGGCAGACCAGATGGGTCCCATATGGGTTTGACCGCGGGTTCCATGGTGGTGCCACATAGGTTTGCCCATGTAGGGCCACAGCCCACATGGACCCTACATGGTGGTGGGCCCACATGGGTTTGCCCATTTAGGGCCCATGTAGGGTCCCAAACTCATGTGGGACCCACATGTCTGCCCACCTTTCCCCCATATGGGGCCCACCTAGGCATGCTGGCAGGGAGTGGACATATAATAAACCTTTTTCTTTTTTTTACCCCACTTTGGCATAGGTTGATACAGTATTTATAGTTGCGGCGGAGAGTAGGGGGGCGCGGACTGTATTCTTCTTCCTGAGGGGGAGGGGGGCTTAACAGAAAATAATTGAGAAGCACTGCATTAAGCAAATGTATTTTCAAAATCTGAAATTGCACAATTATTTGGTCAATGCAATTCAACACAGAATATATATATATATATATATATATATATATATATATATATATTCTTTTTTTCTTTGTGGCACTATTGATAAAATGCAACCGCAATCAGACACTTTTGTGTGAAGAATTTACAACTCCAAAGCAGGACAACATTGACGTCTCACTGTTTATTGAAGTAATAATGGATTCTGCCAATTCATTTGAAGTTATTCAGCAATGGGAGCTGACACTATTGTCATAAGATCATAAGACAAATGAAGCTGGGAATAAAAAAGCACTAATAGCAACAGCTATTAGTGCGTATTGACTGCTACTTATGTGGAGCCGTCTGTTTGAATGCATAGTCAGAGCCAAGAGTGGTGGGTTGTGAGTCCGACAATTTTAAAATTTTGCCGTGTGACCCAGGCATGACTCTAATCAGGCAGTTAATTTATTTAATTAAAATAATATTGGTCCCTTAAAGGTTACAAGAAAAAAAACCCAGTAAATGTTTTAATCTTAAAGATAATAAATCCATTGAGTACAGAATAAAGAACACCCCGCATTGCCTTAATAAATCTCATGACTTTTGTGATTAAATGGAAATAACGGACCCTGCTCTTTATCTGGGTGATTGCTATCATTATTCATAAATGTTAGATGAAACAACTTCATTAATAGCATGTTGCTAATGAATGTAAATGTGCTTATTTAAATGGAACGATGCAATTGTTCCAGCTGCAGTGCATCATTGAGCAGTGCTGCTGCGTGAATACCTTAACCTTTTAAATTTCCCTGAAGTAGATAAATGGGAAGTTCTGTGTGAGATGACAGTTGTCATCATCATGTGTCGCTGGGTGTTAAGACCAGCTCCCCAAATCAATCATATTTGTGATGTTATTTTTCAACATGAAATTAATCACAGTCCCTGTGTAAAAATGGAAAGGTTATCTCATAATGATGGGTGTTATAGTATCAGTAATAAACACTTTATGACATTATAATAAAGCTGTAAACTGTGATTGCTACGCCTTGTCACCTCTGTATCCTGTGTTGAAGATAAGAATCAAAAGCACCAATGGTGGGAATTATGTCAAGAACACAGGGTTTGGTGAAAAATAAAATAGAAATCAGTGAAAGTAAACTAAATAGATAATTATTTAAATTCCTTTTATGATTTTCTCCAGAATTTATTGATTTGGTTGCTTGTGAACTGTCTGAGGTCGAATGTTAACCCAATTAATGTTTTCATCAGTTTCAGTTTAGCTACGGTTAGCAAGTTGAGGTTACTGTATGACTTGTAGCCATGCTTGGTGTTGTTTTAACCTTTAAACAGGAGAATTTGAAGCTTTGAGTCAGATGCTAACATCAGTGATGAGTTTTACACCTGAAGCAAGATGCAAAGTGATGTATGAGCAGCACTGTGGGCATTTTAGTGTAAGTTAACATATGCCACATTGACATTACAGTACATCATGAACCATGGTAGTCTGGTAAAAACCAGCTCCTTGTTCTATGCTTTACTTTGTATAGCTGGTCTGGACCCTTGGCTATATTGAGAAATGATTGCTTGCTGGAGGCATGGACCCTGTTGAAGTTTGAAAAATTTAATCTTAATTTTACCTAATTGCTAACATTTGACATATGTCCTATTAACTCAACCTTGAAGGAAGCTACACTATTAAGATTACCAGAAATTACGTACACTGTAAGCATCCATTGCCCACTGTGAAGACTTAACATCCCTGTCATCAATAAGAAGTCTTAAATATTCCTCTTGCTCCAACTTTATTTGCTCAATATTTTAAGGTGTAGCTTCCTCTGCTGCAACCATTAGCAGACTACAATTTCAAAACAGTGCAGCAAATCCATGTCATCATTCACAACTTCTCCTTCGGTTCACTGATTGGCCCAGTTGAAGTTCTACCAGAGAAATCCAGGTCAGCAGGAAAAATCCCAGATGGAGCACTGAAGGAAGATGAGAATCAAGTGGAATTGTGTAGGAAGGCAGAGGCCAGGCTGGAACAAGACCAATGTTTGGCAAATAAATATGTTAAGAACAGAACTTAACCTGGCAGTTTTGATGGGACCTTAACAGAGCTGTCCAGACACTAACATACTGATTCAATGTTTAAAAAATGAGTCCTGGACAATGATCCAAAATCCTGTGGAAAATGACCACTTCATGTTGTTGCTGTAAAGGTGGATCACTTGGTAACCAGGTTTAGTAGTCTACTCCATCTTATCTTCACAGATTGAGTATCTACCTCCAGGTGTCCAAGCAAGGTGGACCAGGTGGAGAAAAGTGTCAGGTGTGATATGTGATTAAAAGATTATCAGCAAGAATGAAAGGAAAGGTGTACAAGACGGTGGTGAGACCAGCAATGCTGTTTGGTTTAGAGACAGTGGCAATAACAAAGAGGCAGGAGGCAGAGCTGGAGGTAGCAGAAATGAAGATGTTGAGGTTCTCTTTGGGACTGACAAG